TCACTCACTCACTCACTCACTCACTCACTCACTCACTCACTCACTCACTCACTCACTCACTCACTCACTCACTCACTCACTCACTCACTCACTCACTCACTCACTCACTCACTCACTCACTCGGAAATCATACCTTTTGTGAGTACAGGAATCGATGCAATTGATATTTTGATGAATTATCCGTTCATCTGAAAATATAAACAGAGTAATTTAGCTGATATATTAAAAACTTGAAAATATGAATATTTTAACAATTTTGTCAGATTAAGATTCAACATCAATGCTTTCAGCCCCGAAAGATGGTATATAAAAAATATCATCATAATAGAATTTTCTTATATCAAAACCATTTCTAAAATTGACTATGGATAATATATTCATAACGAATTACCAAATTGATAATTTATGCAAGCCACACATTAGCATTGGTATAAGTTGTGCACCAAAGTAGAAGTATTTCCGGCCTCACCATCTTATATCTATAACAGATTAAAAATCTTTATTAGAATATTTTTAATGAAGTAGTGGCATCTAACCTTTATAAAAAAGAATAATCAGGTTTGATAAATTGTCTTCAAAAACGTTCAGAAACTCTAGTCTGTAAGGAACATCATTTAGTGAAAAGCTAATCGTGAATGTTGAAGGAAGTAAATTTTGATCTGTTATTAAAACATTAAATCCATTAAAAAAATATTTAATTAAACATTCTTTTAGGTTTCATAAATTTAATTTAGTAAATAAAATCTCCAAATTTATTTAGTAACAGTAGTTTGAAAGTAGCATAATTTAGACTACAAATTTTATCTATAGAAATAATAATCACGATATTCACCTAAATTTGGTTGAGCTCAATTCTTTTTTAGTCAGGATCTACCTCGAATACAACTTTGTATTCGTATAGCCAAGTGCAGACCTTTTGAATTTCTGAAATTAAAAAATTAAAATATAGTTAGATGAGTTTTCAAAAGTACAGAAAATCATATAGTAATTATTTATAAATTCTATCAGTACACGTTGGGATTGTTTGACATCAAAATGTTCAGCCCCGAAAGATGGTCATCATATCCAGAAAATTTGGTATGAAAAGTAGTATATAATAAGTTGTTAATTTTAGTGGAATATAAAGTAACTTTTTATGCAGAAAAAATGAAGTGTATGATAGATAAGATCTGATGGTATTAAAATTAAAAGAAAAATACATTATGCATATTTGTTTTGCACTTACAAACTTTTTAACACGTTGCATCGCAAGATTTGGAGTTAGAATTACTTGCAACAGCTCGACTCTTCCAGCCATAGTATTAATTAATAAATACCTGTAACATAGTTGAAAGAAACAAATTTGGCATTTGATCGTAGTAAAAAGATTTATTTTGATAATCCATTATTAACTGTTCCATAAACAAAATTCTTTTTTAATTGAAAAACACGTAAGTCATATTGTCCTAGATTCCTAAAATTTTATTCTTTGTTAAAAGATGAACGATATTCAGTATTTAAAAAAAATAGTTATTCCTTCGTCATTTAGCACATGAAAAAGCATGTTAAAGACTAGTAAAATTACAATTAGAATGCAGTTCTATAATAGCGCTTCTAGATGACATGACATCAAACAAGCGTGGCGAACGGGTAGCAACATTTAATTAATTAACGTTTTGGTACATCATAAATAATTTAATACTAGTTATTTACATGCCATGGGGAAACCAAATGTCGACAAGCGAGCACCAAAACCTCATATCTTGCGCTATACAGATATCTTTTGCATACCGTATTAGCGGTTAATTCAGCCATAGCACTTAAAATACATTAAATCGTACCTGTAATTTCAAGACGTACAGATACGCCATCCATTGATCAACCAGCCTCGCACATCTGGAAATATAAAATCAAAGTAAGTTCAAATCTTATTAATTTTCTTTTCTGCAGTAAAAAAAACTTGTATCATTTTAATCGTTTAATAATCGGTCGATAGACTTCCAACTTTGACAAACTGCACTTGTATACAAGTAGTGTGCTTTCAGATTATGTTAAGAAAGATTCCAGATAGAGTAAGATTATAAGTGAAAACTATTCATTATTCAGAAACTTTTTAATTATGGAATCCAACACCGAATAAGTTTATTTCCGGATAGTTTCTACATCTATAATACACTTGAAAGTTAGCGTAAGTAATACAGCTTCTATTGATAGATATTGCAGTGATTGGCCATTCATTAAACAATATTATTTTTTGGGGTTTTGGGATATATCGCAAAACAGAAGTTCCATGTAATTTCAAACATGATTCAGTGAGTAAAATGAATTATTAGAGTAACGTCGCTTTGGCAATCCTGCCGAGTTTTTACGCATAATTTTTCATTATAGAAGAATTTTATTAAGGGTCTTGTTTTTATTTTTTTGGATACTGTTTCACCATTGTCATCATAATTTAGACAGATAAATTTGAGATTTTTATCCTACCCTCCCTCCAAAATTATCTAAATAATATTAATTTAAAGTGAACTGACAATAATGTGCACATTGAGTAAGAAAATTACAATTTATCCATTTATTTTTAAATGAAAAAATTGTAATATCGTGTACATTAATATAAGGATTGTTTATGATATTTATGTCCAGCAATAAAATTGATATTTTTTAGTCGCGAAATTATAAAGCAGAGCTTTCAACTGGTAATCAAAGTTTCGCAAGAGTAGGGTGTTCATCCTCAATCGGAATGACTCCAACTATCAAAACTGTTATTGCCAAGAATTTGAAACCAATAATGATGTAGCACCGTGTCTGGTGTTACAAAACCATCACAAAGTCCTAATGAAAATAATATTAGTCAATCACTGCACGTAGCCCGAGATTTCATACATTTACATACATATTAATTTTTATATGCAGTTTATTGAAAAGAACAAAAAGGATCTTTTACAAGATTTTACTAAAAATTGAACAAATAATTGCTGTATTTCTTACACAATGGAGATTAGATATAAAAAAGGACAAATAAAATGATCGACATATCTTTCGAAGGAAGAAATTATCCAATGGAAGCACACAGTAATTCTTTCAACTTATTTCATCCTAAATTGACAAACATTTTTGAGGGTCTCGTTTTGCAGCACAGATTAAGAACGATAGTTCCGGACAGATTCATTTTAATAGATACTGAAGCTAATGAGATTTTTACTGTCACGGAATTTTATCAAATTATTATCTGGCTGCTTTGGTTTATTGAATGTTATTTTCAAGCCTAAGTATCTTGACGAAATTTCTAAACCAAAACAATTCATCATTGACCAGCTGCCAATAAATGATGATTTACGATTTTTCCATATTCGTGTACCAGTTGATCAAGTGATAATTTTAATTGCCACCCAATCACGAATTGCAAACATTTTTTGAATGCATATGAGAACCCTCCCGAAGGTATAGAGGAGTTATGGTAATTTGAAATTTACACTTTTACTCACCTTCATAAATTCATAGAAAATAGATTTCAAGAATGTAACTCATATTCTTGCAATGAAGTTTCTTCTCCATAAAATTATGATCTTAAACGATTGGCAGGAGTGCTAAATATATGCACATCAAGCTTCAACTAGTAGCAACAGTTGCTTGCTGATGTATCATTAAAAAGTGGATGATCATCCGTTTTGGTCCAACAAACTTTTGTTATATTTACCTTTTATTTGTTGCTGATAATTGGTATATTTATCAAAAAATTTTGAAAGTTGCATACAAATAAAAATGAAAAAACCGTGAGGTAATAAGAAAATAATATAATAATGACTAAAAATAAATGTTTATAAATTTGTTTGATAAATAAATATAAGTATCTAATATTTTTTATCTGAATCAATGAATTGGAAGTAAGAACTTTTTATAATATACATTAAAAAAAAAAATACAAAGTTCAAAATACCGCATTTGAAATATGCAAAGGTGTTATTTTTATTTTTGTCGAAAAATAAGTTAGTTGATAAGATTTCCAAAGTAAGACACTGATAATTTAATCTTTAAAACTCTAAAATTACTTTTTCAATTCATTTTAATACCTATTTTATTGAAATAGTTAGGTACTTTACCAAGAATAAATCCTGCAATTCAACCTTGTAATAATGTTATGTTCTTCGCTCTATTTTGTAAAAATCCTTTTGTTTGTTTTATAACTGAAGAAAAAAAGTTAAAAATGAAGAAAATTCGATAACAGTAAACATGTACTTATAAGATTCATGTACTTATAAGATATTCAGATATTATACCGTATACCGTTTAATAAACAGCGGGATATTTCTAATATCATTGAAGATCGCATTTTATACTTGACAAATTATAAATTATAAAATTTTACTAAAATTTTAGTTATAGTCACCTTTTCCTTTATAATTCGATTATTTAGGTTACAGAACCAAAAGTAGCTGCAGTATTAGACAAAATTTTTTAAAGCAGTTCTAAAATGTTAAATCATTCTAGAATGATAAAACATCAAAGATACCACTATTCAAGTCACAATCTCGTTGTGGTGATATTTCATCATTTGTTCATGAGAAGAGGCTGAAAATAACAATCATTATACACAAAAGGTATACATATGTTATACATATTTCTATTATAATGAGAATGTGTTTGAAAAACTGTTCTCACATATAATAGAAATAATGTTGAATGCACCATTGCAATAAGAATTTGTGTTATAAAACTTTTTTGATACATGGATTCTGAGTTAGATGCAAGTAATTAGCTGATAAAAATTATATAATAGCAATAGAAGACTAATATTTTGGAATTTTCAATATATTGTGCAGATACTAATTATCGGTGTTTGTTTTAATATCTTTACCAAAAAATTTAAGAACTATAGTTAAAAAAAAATATATGTGATTGTATACACATTTAGATCAAATCCACTTTTCTTTAAAATAGCAGAAGTTCATTACTGTTAAAAAAACATTCATGTAATAATTCAAATTTGATAAAGGAATTGAACATTTTTTTCAATTATATAAAGATTAACTAATTACATTAGATTTGATATATTTAGCAGGAAATAAATATTAATGATCAAAGAATGAACAAACAACAAAATCATTGAATCTATTTTTACACATGTATTTATTTAAATTCAGTGAAGATGAATAAATATAAATTTTACCCCGATTTTCGCTTTAGATAAATCAAGAATAATTTCAAAAGTTCAATTTACAGTGATAAAGAAGTATTCCATTGATACTTTGGCAAGTCATGTGAATACTATACTTATTAGCCAATGAAAGTATTCGTTTCATTACAGATACTTCAAATTGTCTACATTACTTAAGATTGAATATCAATCTTAGAAATTCAATCTAATGGTTTTAGAAAATAATTTAGTTACATAAGTTTACAACAATTAATAGAATCACAAGAAATAGCTAGTACTAAAGATTCTTTTTTAATGTAATCGTATAAGGCATAATATACTTTTCAGTATGAAAACCTAAAAAATTTGATTTGAAAATGGGTGAATGATAAATCCTATATCAATTGAACAAAAAATTACTACTATTAACCATCTGGAAACGACTTTATGAATTGCCAAAATCTATTTCCTTGAAAAATATACTTTAGTAGCAGGATTTCGAAATGGATAAAATGGAAAAGTATGGTAGATACAAATATGACTGCTGATTATCCAATCAAAGGCGATAATTAGTTTCCTAAATTATTTCTAAATCTATTAGATTGAGATTCTTGAATGCTTAAAACCTATATGATACGCTTAAAAACGTCTACACTAAATGTTCAATGACAAGATGCCTTTACCATAGGGAATTATGAAATTTGTTTTCATATTTTGTCACAATAGAACGAGGTGAAACTACGAGTTGAAATGATGAATACTATCACGATTTTTTTTATTACAAATTACGCATGTAAGAATCTTAAAAGACCAATGATTAGTTCACGCAAAATAAAGTTTAGTTCTAAAGCGTCAAATATAGTTTCAATCTCCTAAAAAATATTAAGTTAAATTCTTTGTTCGAGATATATACGACATTAGACATTATCCAAACGCAACTGTTTTGAATTATTGTGAGTTATAATTATTGGAGCGTTATGAAAACGCATCTCTTATGTCATAGTAATCAATCAATTCATTATGACTCTCAATAACGTCTCCTCTTGTTGGGAAAGTCATCGGGGCGCGGCCGTTCATTGCCACCCTGCCAACGACCACCACCGCCGGCACCCCGATTACCACCCATATTGCCCATATTTCCCATATTGCCCATGTCAACCCTCATGTCCATAAGGTCCATTATCTGGCCGCGTTCATCATTGTAACCCCCGCGATTGTTGCGCTCCATATTATTATACTGGTCTATAAAGGACTTTGGATCCTACCATTTTTTTTTTCATTTTGTATAGCGAATATCGAAATTGCGAGAGTTCGAGAATTTGTCGATAGCGCAAACAAGTACCATTTTGGTTTTTTTAAACATTGGTACAGAGTTAAAGGGACGAGCATCCATTGTTCAACAGCAGCACGCAGGTCATCGTGAATTTTCGTGAAATCACATAGAAAAAAAGAAAGGGGAAACACATATTGTTAGAATCTAGAACGTTCCAGCTGATAAAAAATTTTTCATTAAGTTATCAAATATCTTTTATATTTTCATAGAAGTCGGCAAGGGTATAAATTCTAAACATGTGGCATTAATTTAAAAAAAGTTAAATACTACAATAGTTTTGTTTAAATAGTTAAAATTATTCATTTACAAATGCAGAAAAGTTCTATATTTCCAAATGTAGGTATTTAAATAATTGGTTTATATTTTGCAAAATGAGACAAAATTGAACTTGTATAATTATATGAAATAAGGTAACTTGTATCAACTAAAATTTAAGCAGACCTTTATTTTAAAATACCTTAATTTTGCAATTGTGTTATCTGCCATTGTAAATACATAAATATAAAACCTTGACGACCCCTTCTATGTAATACACATCAATCATTAGTACTATTAAGATTTATTGCGAAATTTCATTGAATTCATCACAGCCCTACATTTTATTTCAAGTGTTAAAGCAAACCAAATAAATGCCCAACATAGAGAGAATAATTTTTTAGAGGATCACCTACCTCTCATAGCAATTCTTATTTTTATTGGGGGATGGACAGATTATAATAGACATATTTACTTACCAAGGATAAATATGGATTAGTTTTAAACCAAAACATTGGCATGTGATAGTTTAGTGGTATGCATTCAATGAGCTTTTCAATCATTATATATCAGAATAAAATTAGGATAGTATCAATCTTTCATAGAGTTTATTTTAAGTGATAATTTTGTTAAATCTTGAAATAATTTTATGTATTTAGAGGTGTTTGTTATATATTATATTTTCTTTTTATCCCTTTAAATGTTTTTTGCAACAAAAAATTTCCAATCGAACTCTTTTTCTAGATATATTCAATAAAAGATAACGATGAGAATATTTCACTTCATTTTAGTCGTCTTATTTTTTAACTTCAAATTTGAAGGTGTTTAAATAAATATATATAATAACTCTGAACATTTGTAAATAAAATATTAAAAAAAAAAAACAAAAAAAAAAAAAAATTGTTAGAAAACATCATAGACATCATTAGGAAATAGCAATACATCATAAAGTCAAAGATATCATAATAGCAAGAATGGATAAACATTTCACAGAGAATATGAGCTTTGACAAAAAAAATTCAGTTACAGTTATCTTTTTTACAAACAACAAAACTTTGAATGTAACATAAAAAATATTGTTTACTTTGAAATGAATCATAAGTAATATTGTAAACCAATTAAGATTTAGGTGAAATTATATTATCAATGATATTGAACCAAGTTAAACCATGCCACAAAAATTAGTGTTGCTGCTTTTACTATTTCTAATCAATAAATCATAACGTAACTTATCGCTACAACAGAGAAACGTTCAACAGTATAGCGTACAAAAGTTGCTGAAAAGCAATGAGAAGTGATCAAGTCCTTAAAGCTAATTATACACCTTTTCTTTTGGGCTACTGTTGAAGTTAAATTGTTGAGAATTCGGGTACATCATGAAAATATTAGATTACGTGATAAAAAACACCTCCGACCTTATACGTATAAGGTCATTTTATTTATGTTTAATATGTTCATTGTCCAGGAAAGGGATGACCCTACAATTTTTCCTAATTCGATAATAAAACGAGATCAACTTTTGTTAGGGGCTTAAATTTATTCCAGTATTGAATTTTTTTGAGATCTAAAAGCCTAGTAGGTTTATACATGAAAGGTTGTGATGTAAAAGTTGTACGATTTTGTTATTGCAAATAGTGTAGTTTACTTGATATTTTGTTGGGCATTTTTTGGCTTGCATAGTAATTTTGGAACAAAGAAATTTTTCAATAGATAATTGAATTGATATTATAATTTTCAGAAAATATACTAGAAAGAGATTTTAATCCATGTCTTCCATTAATAGACTATGATTCAATACTTTCTTTGGTTCCATAATATAGGGAAAATATATTTTTTTAATAGTATTAATTACAAAATATCTAGTCCGCAAGCACATGGAAAGATTGAATAAAATACTGATTAAAGTTGAGAACGAATTAAACCATACCAATACCCGATACGTTCAAGACATATTTTTCATATCAAGAGCATAATAATTGCATTCAAGTTCAAAGTAATATTTTGGGGGCTACAGAAAAAAGGATACATTCCGTGTGGCTTTATGTACCAGCAAAATTGTCCATGAGTAATATTTTCTAACCCTCTGAAGTTTATCAAAAGATAGAATAGATAGCCATTTTTTTAATTTCCAACAAATAGTTTAAATTCATAATGAAATTTCCCAATTGTAATTATTTAAAATTAGCAAATTTGATGCAACATCAATATATAAATTTAGTACCTAGTGTGCCTAAAATAATTATATGCTGCTTTGTAAATTGAACTATCAAAATTGCTTCAAAGGGTTAGCTAAAAAAATATTTTTCATAATCATAAAAACCTACCTAAAACTTTCTAAAGTTAAAAATTTATTGTTCTTATGAACGAAATTTTGAATGATTTATCAGGTATATCGAAATAAGATCACTAAACACTAAGAGTGTAGTGATCAATAATTCAAAAGAAACGGTACGTATTTTCCATTGAACATTTCTACTTATCCAATGATGTGCGCATAATTTATAACCAATAGAAGTTAGTATTCCTCAATCCTTCCATGTTTTACTTTAAGTTACATTAAAATATGTTCCATGAATATTCACTAATTCAATTATATCTTTCTACTTGTTCAAAGTTGAAAAATTTTAACAAATAAAAGCAAACATAGATATTTTATATTGTAAATGATTCAAACTTCTACCTATTAAGATAATTAGAAGAAAACTTATAATGAATTATATGAAGTTGAATTCTTTTCCAGAGTGCACAAATAAACTTAGCCTATATTGAATATGCAAAACAAATTGTTTTAAAAAACGTGAAGGTAAATGAGACTTAGTCAACAAGTTTAAAATAGATAGTATTACAAGAATACATACCACTGGTAAGTTATTTCCTGAAAAAAAATAAATAAAACGTTTTAAATTAGCGCTTTATGCAATTAATGTGAAATCATTATATTAGTTAAAGGAAATAAATTTTATACCATCGACTGCTGGATATCCATCGCGTTCTGATGGTATATTGTCAAAACTTTTACCACCACCCATACCAGTACGCATTGCTTGTTCCTGAAAATTGAATATTTAGATAAGTTAATAAAATTCTTTATTAAAAATTAAATCGAAAAATAAATTCATAAAACTATACCAACCTGCATGAACATGTTATTCTCTTGTTGTCGTCTGTGAAGTTCTTCTTCTTGACGTCTAATACGGATAGCCATTTCCTCCTGTTGTCGTCGACGAAGCTCCTCTTCGCGAAGTCTTTGTTCCTCGACTTGTCTCTCCTTCATTTCCCATTCCCGCTTTTGTCTTTCACGATCAGCTTCTCTAATGCGTAATTCTATAAAATAAAACGTATACTAGTACTCAGTTTTTGTTAACATAGATATTGAAAAAATCATTATACATACGTTCTCTTAACAATTCGGTTTCATGTTCAGATCTAGCAAACTCCATTTGTGCCTCAAGTTTGTCTTCTTCCATGTCCATTTCTCTCTTCAATGACTTTTCCTTTTGCTTGTATAATTCATGCAGTTGCTTCCACCTTGTTCCATATTCATGTTCAAAGCTTCCAGGAGAAGCAAAACGTGGCCCATACTCACGTGCCTTGAAGAATTCTGGATTCTTTTTAGGTAGATTCTTGTCTGGGTAACCATCGGTATCATCATTTGGCTCATGAAGCTCAACTATGACTGGGCGAAGTGAACTATAATTTTTAATGTTATGTTAATTTATAATTTTGAAAAAGTTTAATTAAATAAGTTTTTAATTAGTATATAAATATGTATCCTAGTCTTTCGGCACATAGAATGGCATTTAATTAACCAAACTTTGCTTCCTAGCCGGATATACATTTAATTTTCCCCATTTAGAAATTTAAATCTATGGCACTTGCAGATCAGCAAAAATCAAACAAGCGTGGCGTTGGGGCTACTAAAATAATTTGGAATATTACATTTGTTTTAAACTAAAAATAAACTTACGAAGTAAGAAAATAGCAGCCTTCAGAACATTTTCGAAGAGCCATCTGTGCATATGGCTTTCTTGAATATTCAACGATACCTTCTCCAGTAGACTTTCCTCTATCATCTGTTATCACAATTGCTCTCTCAATTTCTCCAAATACACCAAAAGCAAGAGCAAGCAGCTCATTAGACACCCATGGTGTGAGATTCTTAACTTTTAGTATTGTGGAATGTGGGGCAAAGCGAACTTTGAGAACACGACCCTTACGAATAGTACCATCTAGTTCACGTTTGGCTCTTTCAGCACTGGCATGGAAATCCTACAATTTGAAATTACAATCTTTTTAAGTATCTATCAATTACTGGTACAAATAATATTATTTCTAAAAGTTAAATCATTAACAATGCAGCCAAATAGTATTATCATTTTTTTCAAACGGTAATTATTGTAATCATATTTGAATTAGTTACTAGAAAATCATTAAAATAAAATGTTTTAATACTCACCAGTCGTAAGAAAGCAAAATTCTTCTCCTTGTTAAGGAAATATTCAGACGTTTCACCGTAAGGAGCAAATAATTCTTGGAGATCTTCTTCTGTAGTATCATTGGTCAAATTTCCAACGTACAAACGATTTCGGCCTGCAAATTTCCTTTCAGAAAGGTCCAGTGGTGGCAATTCATGGGTTGGTCCAGAGATGCTCATAACTGATTTTAACAGACGATCCTCTTGACCTCTATTTTGTTGCATACTTTTGTCGTGAACATTGCCGCCTCCTGGCCCTCCACGACCACCGCCGCCACGACCACCACCGCGACCACCTCTACCTCCTCCACGGCCACCACTTATTCCTCTACCATCACCACCCATCATGGATTCATCCATCATACTTTCCATCATACTTTCACTCATTTTCATCTGGAACGATAATAAAACAATATGCTTATCTTGACGAATATTCAAATTGAAATTGTTGCTTATTCAAACAAATCTCTAATGCAATTATAAAACATTAACGATTTTTCCATAATAACCCGATTATGATATGAATAAATAAGCTAATCATTAAAATTTAATAGAGATAGCTATCCATCAGTTATTACAAAGTAAATCGCAGTTCCGCCATCTTTTTCTCCGGTTTAAAGCAAGGTATCACCGGCAACGGTCACAACGAGGCGGCCATTTTATGAAAGGCACAGCACAAAAGGAAAAATCGATACACTGTTCAAACACACGACAAATTAAAATTACACAACTCGAAATAAACTCGAACAAAAATGTACGTGTGTCAGTTTATTGAAAATTTTAAAGAACCTGATTTGTAGCAGTAAGCTAAGCTGCATAACATTTACATACCATACGTTGATGATGTTAAAAGTATCTATAATTTTCAGCATTATTTCTCGAAAAAAAAATTATCATAAGGGGATAACAAAAGTGGAATAAAATAACATGAAGTGTGATAATGAATTACAGCTTTGAGCTTCCACGTGTTAGCTAAAAGCCTTTAGTTATTGAACGTATCGACGTTTTCTAAAAATATTTCCGATATTAAAATAATCCTTAAACTGATGAATTAAAACAAATTTATTCGAATTAAATGATAAAAACTGAATAACAACTTTTTTAGGACGATATTGTTTTTATAAAACTAATGGCGACAATAAGTAACTAAATTAAAACTAGATTATACCTGCATTTCATTCATGGTGCTGTTCATGTTGCCCATATTCCCCATGCCTCCCATGCCGCCCATGCCTCCCATGCCGCCCATTCCAATGCCGCCTTGGCCACCACCACTGCCTTGGTTGCCGCCTTGGCCACCACCACCACCGCCTTGGTTGCCGCCTTGTCCACGACCTCCTTGGCCGCCACCACCTCGGCCACCGGAAAACCGTGAACCACCTCCTTGGCCACCACGATTTTTGTTGCCTTGGCCACCTCGCCCGCCTCCTTGGCCACCACCACGGCCACCACGTCCACCGCCTGGCCCACCACCTTGGTTACCACGTTGACTTCCTGGACCACCGCCTTGAGAACCTCCAGCTCCGCCTTGGTTACCACCGCCACCACCGTCGACATTAACATCCGGCTTGTTATCTTGCTGAGCGTTTTGGGGCTCGGATTTCACGGTTTCCTCGCCCATTTTAACAGAATTCGTTGCGGTCTTCGCTTTTTTCTCTTGAACGCGACGAGCAATTTACCTCAAGGAGCAGATTATATGGAGCTGTACTCGTCCGTGTGCACTCGACAACGATCTCGCACGAAGAGAGGATGCGGCGGCGATGCCAAGCCAGCATATGGCCACGCTTCTCAGTTTTTCCCCTTCTTTTCCCCTTCGCTCTTGTTGGCAACGCCACTGCGGGTGCTTGCGGAAGTCGATAGATAGAATGACCGTCACGATACACTAACATGTACATCCAATTTTATTTATTTATTTATTTATTATTGCTTATGTTATTTACTGCTATTTATTTTCAATATTTTACATAACATAAAACATTAATTATATATCAACTGAAATGTCTTTATAATTATCTCGCATAACCATTCAATTTAAAAATAATACGGATGCTTACTTGGTGAACTTTTCCGGGCGTTATTTTAAAAGCAATATATAATTTTATTAGTTAATTAATTAAATGAGGATTATTTTTCAAAAGTATCATTTGTTCACGGTATTTTTAGAAATCTCTTGTCACTAATCCATTATTTTTCGTTTCTATTTCTAGACATATTATTTATTAACACGTGAGAAAAATAAAAATTATTGTATAAATTCATGACAGCACACTAGTTTCGTTACGTCGCTTTTCTACATCCGCCGCACACGAATTGCACATCGCGCAACTTGATTGGTTCGACAGTGTTGCCAAGCGTATCATCGGTTACTAGAGCGCCAAATACAAATACACTAAGGGATAAGTATATCTATAGAATTCGATGGAAATCTGCAGAGAGAAAGTAAAACTTTATGAAGTACGAATTATTATTATTTTGGCTTGGATAAGTATTCCCCAAGTTTATGACTCCAACAATGAGAGATTGCAAGATTGAGATTTTAGTACTTTCCCAATGATGATAGTAATAAAAGCCAATTATAATGAGAGCGCAAAAGTTGAATGTCCTAAAGATGATGCATAGTAAAACAAAATATTAACTTTCTGATATTAATATTTCTTTAATTCTTTGGATAATGAATTCGTTCAAATTTAATTGTCAATAGTTTCGACTTTCTTTGGACCGAGTAATAAAGAAAGGAATTTTACAAAAAAAAACGTTAGACACGTGATTTTGCTGCAAGTATAAAATTGATGCAAATAATACAAATAGTCTTTTCCAATAAAAACTCATTTAATTTGGAAACAACATTGTATTTTTTCATTGTAAAACTGAATATGTTAATGTAAATGGTTTGAGCGTGTGACCTGGACGAGAATCTGACAAACCTGGATTTTTGAAGGGTTGCCGCGAGATCGTTACTTAATCAATTAAACGAATATTAATGTGCGTCCAGAGAGTTCGTTCTAATGTTCATAGGAAAGAAAACTTTTTCAACGACAGAGCGCAAGAGATAATCGAACGACAAAGTGAGCGGACAATCGTTAAAATTGTTTCGCAGTTCGCGAAATATCCATTGAAACGGTGAGTGGGGTTCGTTTTCTTTTGGCTATATAAATGTGTCGCGTCGACAGCTCAAATTACACTTTTGCCGCGACTCCTGCAATTCAACCTGCGCGGCGGAAACAAATCCAGAGATGGTTTTGGGCACTTCCACCGGCAAAGGGTGGCTATTTGCCGTAAGTACTACTTCTTTACTTGTTTGTCTTCGATTGCTTTTTTGTAGTGTTTATTTAAAAGAAACTTACTAAATGAAAAGGCTTGTATACGAAAAGTTTTTTGAACTGTTAGTGTCGAAAATGCAATGAAAACGTTAGGGAGCGTAATTGAGACAAAAGAAATTATTTTATGTAAGCGTGAAAATTCCCTTCCTACATCCTCCAAATTTCCCTGCAATATTTCGATAGCAACTACTTTTACGCTACGTACGTTGTCAAGGGTAAGTATGTATACAGTTCGAATGGAATTGTATAACAACGTTTCACTGTTATTCAACGTGCTCGTGATAATCGAATAGCTGGCAAGCAGTTACCTGGAATAAATTCACCCATATCGCTGGAAAAGCTTGCACAAGTGGAACAGCTCGTAGTGCAATGAGGGTACATTGCGCTCACATGAGGGATGGTTTTTATAAAACCTCCACCTCGTTATCGTCATTATTACACTGACATCAGCTCCGACGAGAAATTTCAGCAACGAAACGAAGAAAGAGAGGGGAAAGAATAAGAATTTGTGCGCGATGTATATCGCACTGCACAAATCTGCTGAAGGACCTATGCCACGTGAGTTTCCTCGTCTGCAATCAACCTACATTGGCTGTTTCTGGTTCTGCTTTTTTTCTTGCTACAGTTGCTGTGATTTTGATCAAATTAGGATATTTTCTTTTTTTTTAAGCTTCAACTTTCGTCAACTTTCACTTAATTTTTTATTGCATTTTGCGTACCAAAATCTATGAATAATAAATTCAGTGTATTTAATGAATTTTAATCCTCGTACGTACGTTTGGTAAATTTTATAATGAGCTAATTTTATTGACCATTATTTTAACGTATATCAGTTTTACGTAATTAGGCATTTAAATTAACAAATTTATTGTTCCTATAACTAATTACTTTGCATTTACCTGCTGTTTATGTAATTATTGATTCTAAACTATCACGTGATTATAATACTGGGCAAAGAAAACAAAATTATTAAATTTGATTAATGTTGACATTTGTTATTGCCGTAGTACTGTATTATTTGTTGAATATAATAGCAGTGGACTAGGCCTCATGGGGATACCACTTTAAAACAAAACGCACTGGTGTATCTACCGCAAGGTGGTGTGGAAACGATACAGCGTTCAGCAGGTAAATTTATATGATGTATTTCTATTAATAAATATATAAAATTGTATAGTTATTGTAAATTTACTAACAACCATGTTTTTCAATGATATACTTCAATGTGTACTTGAAATCAACGCGTTCGCTACCACATGATCCAAATTTTTATGATATACTTTCATTCTTTCATCGCATATTTTACAGCATTCAAAATTGGCACAATTCCTTATTAAATTATTAGTTAAATTAAATTATGAAATTATTAGTTAATAGAATTATTATACCCTGTTTTGATCAGTAACGTAATTGAAATTTTTTTAAATGCATTTTGTAAATAGCAGTGAACGTGTTAAAACATTATTTCAACTTATTGGTATTGAAATATTAAACTCAAACTCAAATTTCAAGTTTATAAGTAAAGTTCTTTAGTGTTTCATTTTAGGCTATGCATCGCCAACATCAATTTTATAATTTAAATTTGGAAACAAGCTATTTTTCTTGCGCTTCAATAATTGACTAATCGATTTTTCACCATGACAACACAATATCGCGAGAAATTCCCTCTATTTTAGTTGAATATTTCACACCAACTGTGATTCTTTGAGTTTCACCAATTATTGACATTGGTCATAAATTATTTTATCGCATTGAATGCATATAATCAATTTTTTGTGTCAATAATGTTTACGTGAGCATACACTCTTTTAGCGGCAAAAAAAGTGATTGCTTACCATTTCCTGGCTATAAATTGTATTCTGGCTGAGTGAATTGAAATATTTTCTGTGATAGTATTTGAAAGGGATAGATATTCAACCAAAAGCGATAGTAATTTTTTACTGTGGTTATTAAACTTCAACTAATGCAATCAAGATGACTTATAAATTTCAAGTCATTGCATAATTTATTATTGTTTATTGGGAAAGTAGGTTCTTATTAATGGAAAGAATTCATAATCGGCAATTAATTGAATTCTTTGTAACTTGTCATTATTGCCAGAATAATTATACCTCTATAACATAGCCAATTATGATCACAGTTCCCATACCAAATCAATCATAATGTAATTATTGTTCATAAAGCGTACAAAGCAAGAAGCGATGCGAAGCCAGTGTTAATCAAAAACTTGGAAGTCGTCGCGCGAAGGAAAGTTTAGCTCGTATTTACGCGTGATAAAATTGCAACACTTGCACGCAGCTTCAGTAACTCTCATGGCGAACGATTTTTCAAGCGTGTGTGTGTGTTGTTTGCAACGAGGACGTAGGTCAACGTTGAGATGAAAAATGTAGCTGTTTTCTCGACTTTCTCACACACTCTCGCTCACTAAGAAACACAATAAAGCGGCCTTCCGTCTAGAGCCCTTATCCGGTAAGTCGATCTCTTTCAGAGCGCGCGCCAAGTGACAAACGAGGCACACGCGTTTCGGATTCAGAAGCTGCAAAACTCGAATGAAGCACGTTGCTGACAACAGGATATACACTCTTTTCGACGTCATGTGCCTCCAAGGGGTTTACCTCGCCAATTCACGTGCTAACGAGGCTTGTGTATTGACCTGTCCTGCTCTCACGTGTCTCTACCCGACCGTTGTTGGCTATCACTTTATTGAACATTCGAGGGACGATCGAATGTTGATTGAGAGCTCGGGGTCAATTTGGCTTTACAGATCGCAATTTTGACTAGGAGTACAAACGTAGGTCATTTCAAATTATAATCAAGTTTATAATTAACTTTTTTTGCATTCAAGAGACGTTCAATATAAAAAATATAGTATATACTGTAATTGCATCATTCTGAAGTGCTTGGCATGAAAGATACATTTTCATTCTTTTTCCTCGAGGAATCCACTATTTTCTTCTCTCGACGCTTGCTTTTGAGTAGTTTTCCTTTTTTTCTTTACCTGTTTTCGTCAACGCCAAAAAAATAAATGTTTGCCTATAACTTACTTTTCTCTAAAATATGTAGAACTCACTTTTTTCTGTCTTTTAAATTTGGAAACTGGCAAAGAATTTGTTCATTTAGGCTTGTTAATAAATTATTATGTCTTTAGACTTTTTTAGCACTCATAAATTTACATTATGTGAAAAAACGTTTTTTTCGATGAGCCTAGTCAATGAGCTGACTATCGATAGGGAACAAAAGTTTGCGATGCAAAAATTATGAGAATAAAATGAAATTATACAATTTGAAGGTCGCTCGCTATGTCAAAGGTACCTTTGCATTTATTATTTCGCATTCGTGCATGCGCTAAATTAAATTTTACTGCATGAGGATTATTTTCTGCAGGATTAAAGAGATCTTTATGCAAAATTGAGATTGTTTTTGCGATTCCTGTTTTTCTCTGATCTTTATTACTATGAAGGTAGCTTATTTATTTAGAAAATGTATTATTTATTCCATGAAAAACTAGCTCATTTTAAAGAAAGCTTTCGTTGTAATATTCGTAAGTAATTTTTAATAATTTGGAAGATTATATGTCAACAATTTTTCTCCATTGCGTGCAGTTAAAATAATTAATCATACTCAAAATTATCAAGGTATATATTTCCCGAGGTATTATTATCTTACTTTCACAAAAAAATCGCAAAAATATTAAAAGAGCGCGCACTAAGTTCATTTGTAACACTTCAAACAGATTTTTAATTTAATTTACCGACATAAAGAATAAAAAACTAATTTTTCAATTTCCATTCCACTGTTCCTAACTCTTTTGAAGCCATGTAACTTTGAAATATATAAAAGCTTCTTTAGCATAATATATATGTATATACTTTTTGACGCTTGATGATGAAACAGAAACAGTTTTCGCAGCTATAAAAAGTGACCTCTCGTAAAATTAAATTTTAATAATAGTTTAAGAATATAGAAGAAAGCACTTATATGTGCAAGTGAGAATTTGAAACTGGTCGATATATGTTTACCGTTGAGGTATTTTAGTCACCACAATGTCGTGCTTGGAAAAAATTTACTCAGTAGACTAATGTTTTAATATCGCTCTTGCCCCTTGCTATCGTATTTTCTATATCACAATAACTTTTCTTTACAGTTATTGCGCTAAATTGATAATATTTTGTTTGATGGAAATGGTAATCAAGTACTCAACAATTATTTTATTTTTTCGCCATCCATGTTTTATTCGGAAACTTGCTAATGCATTTATCTCGAAAGCTACTTAGTTCCAAGCCAAGCGTAATCATAAAATATTGAAATAATTGGTGTAGTTACTCATTTAATAATGAAATTGGTTCTTTAGATGAAGTTCCGTAACGATCAAAACAAAATTGAATACATTTGAAACATGAATGACGAAAATCACAATTAAAATAGTCAAGAAAGAAATCACTTCATCAATCGATCGATAGATATAAAATTTGCAATCTTGAAAGCATTTAATCAAGGTCGAGAGTATCAAATTGATTTGGTGGTGTGCAACAATGACTCGACCTGCATATAATACATTATCATTAACGGTCGATGTTATGTATTCGTGTATGCCGTGGTCGATTAAGCCTTAGCTGGAGCTTGCATATGAGACATGATCGGTGTGTTGTGGCCTGGAAGACGTCTCTGCTTGCGCGAAGGTGCGAACATGTCGAGTGTCGGTATAAACAACTCTGAGCGTGCGCGTCTCGAACCCCGCCCTACTACCCTCGTGCCGTGCGGGGTGGGTTTGTTCTCTCTTTCTCTACCTCGAGTCGGCGAGTACGGCCATCAGTCGCGCTCAGGCCCGCGATCCGCGAGGCAAAACGCAAAGGTGAGAAACTCAACGTTACGGAGAGATTGGTTTGCGAGGATCATACAACAGCAAAAATATTTCTGAAAAAAAGTGCCGAATGAGATATATATTTTGAGTCGCATGCAACTTTGTGAATGCTAATTGCTAATCTTGCTGCCAGAACAAAAGAAACGTCTCGTTAAAAAAGTAATCACGAGACACTCTTCGATTGTCACATATACAACCAAAGTGAGCCTAAGCAAAGTCATTGCCAGCGAAAATTCGCTAATAGTTCAGGAAAACACATCGCTATGGAAATGATCGTGGTATCCTGAAGACAATAATATACATGCACGAATTTCTTCTTTCTGTCCATCGAGTATCAAAATCAAGTTACAGAATTGAACTATAATACAATTTATCCTTAATTGAATGCAAAAGGAACTGTAAGGGCAACGAATCAACAACACAGTTATCTCTCAAGAATTCAAAGTAAGATAATATATATTTTAATAAGTCGGAGTATAAAGTTTATACGTATATAAAAACTTTGCAATAAGCATATAAATTAAGTAGTCGTTGGAAATGAATGTTGAACTCTAATAGAAGTCTGCGCGATAGTCTTATATCGATAAGTGTCAGCATTTGAAAAGAAGGCAAAGTGTTTTATGAACAGTTTAGCAAGACCCTACTAAAACCAAAAAGAAAAAGAAAATCGCCATGCAAGATCCAACAGCAGCACTGCCATCATCGCGAGGAGCAGTGAGAACGGCGAGCAGTTGCAAGCGTCACAGTCACCATCGCCATCATCATCAGTATCAGGATATCAGCGAGCCACAGCCGTCGTGTTCGACGATCGCGACGACGGGTCGTAGCTCGCGACCATCCTGATCCTAACTTCTAAGCCCCGAGATCGAGCCCGCAGCGAATCCGAGTAGCGTGATCGACGGCCCGGGCCCCAATGGCGTAAATAACAACACGAGTAGTCATAGCAGCAGTCCACCGAAGCGTAAGAAAAAGCCCAGGGACGAACAACCCAGGAGTGCAGCCGCGCGCTTAACGGCCGGGGCAACGGTGGCGCCGTCAACGAGCAGCGCACCAATGCGCACTGGTACCAGCAGCTCGGAACTGCTGCTCGGGGCCAAGTGCCGGGCTCTACTGAGGGACGAGCTGCTCGAACAAGAACAGCGCAGACAAAAGCTCATCGAGTTGGGTTACAAAGCTGCCAAGAAGAAGAAGCCGCGACGCACTTGCAAACAAAGATTGACTTTCTACGCTACCTCGAGTCTTGCTCTCGTGGCCATTTCGGGTGGTTGCGCCCTGTTGTTCCTAGTGCCGCTTTATGTCGATCCTGCTTTCAGCACTCTCACGGCTGATTTCTTTCCCGAACCAGTGATATGTACCACCTCGAAACGCGAGGATCTTTGGGGTCTGTTCAATTGCACTTGGAGCTCGTGCCGAGAAGGCTGTACCAGCGAAGTGTACAGGTGTACGCACATTTACGTGACTTACACCCCGTGGAGCAACGCGAGCTCGAACTCGACTAACCTCGTGACTAGTAGTGTTGACATGTCGGAAGAGATAGAGGAAGCTGAGGAAATCATTGATGCGGTATTGTTGGTGAATATTAAAGGATGTGGCTACCCGCCGGTAGTGGATTGCGAGAATTTTACGCGTGAAATGGGTTACGAAGGCTCGCAATTCCCATGCTACTATAGCCGTGTCAATCGGAGTATCGTTATGGCTGATTACGATCGAGAAGCTGAATTGACTATAATTATTCATTACTTTGCTGCACCACTCGTCATGACACTCGCTACTACTGCTGTTCTTTGTGTGATGCATTGCGACTGCAGATGTCAACCACCACCGAGGAGACGATATCCTGCAAGGAGGAATGTCACCAGAACGAGGAACAACGAGATTAGGTACTGGTGGCTATGCTTTTACGTGGGGGAGTGTAGAGTTAAGGGGGGCTTTCGCCTGGTTAGCCAGAACTGATTTATGACTTTTTTCCTTATTCTTAATGCGACTTTATCGCGACAACTGCATACGGGGAAAGTACATTACTGTTTTCCACAATCATTAGTTTCTCTTCGTCATGCATTCCGTTAATTGCTTTCCCCGTATACAACTCATTGCTAACTGTTGCGTTTACTATACATGGCTTGTCGAAGGTACCATTGTTTTGACTTACAAATGCATCGGTGTTAGCTTATTACTTCTGTGAGAGAACAATTATGAGAATTGAATTGCTGTTTCTAATATGGTAGCACCGAGATGCATTGCAATATATACAAAAGAATGTCTGACCAATTATTTTTTGCTGTGACAAACGACTATGAATTTTTATATTTCGTAGATAAGATTTAGATAGATGCATGAAGTATTTTGCGTTAACCAAAGCTATTGAAAAATAGTCCACGTATACCTATACGAAAGTCAAGTAAAGAAAAAAGATTTTTGGCTATATACACGATTATAATTTGACCTTTCTCTTGTTTTAATGTATCAAGTCTGTAACATATTGATTAAAATATTTTGAAATTGATTCATATAAAGATGTACTTTACTTTCGCTTTGTAAAGAAAATGATGAGCTTAGAACAGTTCACGTAGAAAAGTTGTCAATAAGTTCACAAATGTTTAGATTAGATAATTGACACATTCATAAAAAAATAATGTAGTCTAGTGTAATATTCTAATCGAGATATATAATATTATGCTGCTAATGATATTTTGTTTGTTTGCATCAAACACTTGAGTATTTTCATGCATCAATCTAATAAACTAATAAAAAACTGTATAATTTATGTGTGTGCGGGTGAGTGTGTGTATTTATTCTCAAATAACATTGATTTTATTTATTTAAGTTCGTACGATAGTTTAGTTTTCTGAAAGAATTGAGAAAAACAATACTATGTCTTGGAAAATTTACACAAAGAATAAAACGGGTGTTACTAAATAATAAATAAGTCATTAACTGAAGTCCAATCTTCAACAATTTTTGTATTATAAGGTCGTTAAGGACGATCTAAATTTCATATGTTTGAGAAGCATATCATTTTAATATATAAATTAGTATTGAATGTCGTATATATAAATTGGAGAAAAATTCTAAAAATAAGAATAACATACACGTAAAGTATACATAGTTGGAAAAATACAAAGCGAATTGAGCATTCCTGAAGAAGGAACTAGAATTCGTCTATATCTTCACTAATACTTTTACCTTGTGATACTATTTTCTTTCAACGTTACATATTCTATACTTTTATAATGAAGGTCTTATGTTTTTCAGTATAATTTTATTTTTAAAAGAAACATGCTTACGTCACGTCATCATGTGCACACACATTATAGGTAGTATTCAAAACGTGGCTGGGCTAAAAATCCTTAGAAATTTTATTCTGTGTAATTTTAATATTTTGATTAATTGTTCTCTATTGAAACTAAAAACTAGATAAAAAAAGTAGTACATGAGCACAAAATAACAAAAAATCAAAATAACCATATTAAAAAGTGTAAAAAGCATTTGTTCTTTATGATATATCATTAAATATTTGTTTCGCAACTACACGCGACTAATGACGTATTTTCCATCACGTAGTTTCGCTGTCGCACGTTTGTTAAACAAACTTTCGTGCCTACACCTCAAGCCTAAAATGTACTCGTCACGAAAACCACCAAGCGTAATATTTGCGTTTACTCATATGTACGTGACAATCACCACCATCACATCAATGTTGTATATACTTATATATTTGTTTGTTGTTAATTGTATAGTGTGTGTCTCATGTTCTTGCGTTTATCTCCGTAATTCACTTAATCCATGCGCGCGATGACCGACAGTTTCATCACCTGGTACGCGATAGCATACTATATATCGACTTTCTTATATGATACGATTGTCAAAGCTCTTTCACGTTGTATGTACTCGCGTTTAATATATCTAATTTGGATATTTATTGAAAGTTATAGAATCACTTTTGATTTTTTCGGACAGGAAGAAATTTCCAGTGTAATGACATAGTTCATTTTGAATTAGATTACACATTAAGAAAGTGCTAAAGTCTGTAAAAATAAAGAGCCAAAATTAATTCGTTTTTGGCGTTGTAGTCTGGATTATTAGATGGAAATGTGTTGAGTTTTATTTTATGCAGAAGTACGATGCGGCTTTCACATCAGCTTTATCTTCTTGTTGTCCCTAGCAATTTCTTTCGAATCATTCCAATATTCCCCGACAGCAGCATCGAGAAAATGGTGATGCTGGTAATCCACATTTCAAATTCCTTTCTACAAGAATATCCATTTGATTATTTCTTGAAGAAGAAATAAGTAAGTCTAATTTGAACTTTATCTACTTGTCCTTTTTGTAAAAAAATATTAAATTTAAGAATGGGCAAAATTCAATCGAAAATAGCACAAGTGTCGCATAGAACACGCTTTTATCGCAACACTTGAATTTTAGCTTTACGCTCGGCGTTATCTAATCTCGCAGTTCTACGCGATACATATATGTGGTCCTCTCTTTTCTCAGATACAGTAAACGAGAAAGAGATAGGATAAAACGTTGAAAATTTCGCGCTCGTTGTCTCCTGATCTCTAAAAAAATATAAAACCGCAAAGGAAAAAATATAAGTGTTAGTAAAGTCGCATTTGCAAGTTTTGACTCAACCTTTATTTTTACTGTGTTTGCGTATTTAGTATTCGGATATTTTGCTAATTCGACAATACATGTTTATTGCGAAACAGCAAAAGACATGCATTATTAGCATACCTGATGCAACTGGAATCAATTCATCGCTGTATATGCGGTGATTTGTCGATATGTAGGATAAAATATGTAAATTGTAGCTCCGTGTTAACTCTCATTAACTAGTACATACATTATGCAAGCTTGATTGGGAATTGATCATTAAAAATTCCATTAGAATTCATTTAAATTAGATTAGGATTCCCTTTAGGTGACCTCTATTATTCTCTTTCTTGAAAATTAATCGGAAAATCGCTCTAATAAAATAACCACATTTTCATAAGAATATATAACTTTTGCGAAAGGTATACTTCAAATCTAATTGTATGCAAAAGTAAAGTTGAAAGCAAATTCAGTTTTAAGTAAAAAATAAGGCTAACGTATGTATATTCAATATATGAATATTTAGAAAGTGGACCAAAGAGAATAAAAACTTTACTGTAGGCAGACTAGCTACAGTTCTATACGTGTATATCTTATCTATACTACAGCGAAAAAAAGACATTACAAGTTGCATTTATCGTGCCTAATCTATAATAGGTCAGAGAAAGAGTCACGCTAGCGTGGAAAAAATACTCGTTTGAAAATCCGATATTTTCATATTGCACACAGACATACATACGTCGATACTCTTCGTTAAAAAAAATAGCGTCCAGCCACGATCACACTTGTAAGATATGACGACGAATTCTTGTTTGTTCGAAATGCGATATGAATCGCCATCATCTCACTTTTTAAATCGCTACACCATTAACGTATCGCAGAGAAAAAAAGTATAAGAGAATTATTTAAAATGAAGAAGAAAACTGAAAAGACATTATTTGTACATAGAAAATTCTAATGAGTTGTGATATATTACATGAGTTTCATTGATTGTCTATAAAGTATTTTTTGTATGTTAATACATGTAAATACATTGTAAAAACAACAATATATACATGCACACGCAAAGCTTTAAAAAAGCTTTTTTGGCTCTCAACACCAGTGTCTATAATTAATCATTCATTCGAATCAAAACGTTTCGTAGCCACCTACGATAACGAGGAAAGTAACAAAGGCACCGGTTCGGTGTGTAAATGATTGATGTGAAAGCAATGAGTCGATATCTGAGCGAAATCAGTCTTCGGCGAAAAGGTGTAAACGGAAAAGCGAGTAAGAGAGATAGAAAGCCAAGGATAGAAAAAAATAGACAAACGTATACTTCCTACAATTGTGTCCTCTTGGCGAAACGTTTTCTACTTTTACGATGCAATTAAGTATTTACGAGTGCTAGTTTATTCTGTCTTTCCCTCTCTCTCTCTCGCCCTCTCTCTCTCTCTCTCTCTTGCTTGCAATGACGTTTTGCGAATGTCACCGTGGCTATATCCAGCAGTGTAACTTTCTCTTATCTATCTTTTTTCCGATATGCTAAGTATAATTGTGTACTCTGGTTATTACTGATAGTTATTATTCAATAAAACATCATTTTTTTCACTCGCGACCAACGATGCTGTTGTACTGTCTTTATTTCCATTATAACCATTTCACCAGAGTGACTTAATGTATTTTCCTGATCTAACGATCGATTTTTTTCTGTCTTGTTATTGTGCTATAACGTACATATATACTTCGATCTATCCAAATTCTATTAAACTCTGCCTAAATAATTCTTTAATACTTTTTCATGCACACTGCTTTAAATAATATTATTATTATTTTTGCTCTATTAGAATTTTAAAATTCTTTCTTTCACACTATGTGCGATTTGTTTTTGTTTGACATGCACAAATAGCATTCTTTATTTATTATTTTAACGAAATCACATAATGCACTTTTTACAACAATATGGTAGGTATACTACTTTCTTTCATCGATCATTTGACTATTTTATGCAGTGTTGAAAGTAGTTACAATACAAAGCTTTAATCGATTTTCATCCTATGCGCTATGCCAATGCTTTTTAATACCTCGGCAATAGTTAGTTAGTGAAATAAAGTTTGATTTAATAAATGAATAAAGTAATAGTTTGATGCTTTCAACACATTGATGGCAAAATGAGTCATACAGGGGAATTATGCTTATTATTCAATAAAGAAAAATTTTGCTGTGGGAAAGGTGAACATTTAAATGGAATTGTTGATTGTAATTCGAATAAAAAGTTGTTAATTTATTTAAGGATTGATCTCCGTTGCTA